CGGCCACCTGGCGCCCACGTGGACGGGCCTTTAGTCGCGGTTCTTAAGCAACCGCGACTAAAGGGGGGGGGGGGCTTTAGTCGCGCCCGGTCGGTCGCGGTTGCGCAACCGCGACTAATGGCAGTTGCGAACCGCGACCAAAGGCCTTTTTTCCACCAGTGACTGAAACAAGTTGTAACCTCAGGGCGCCATCCCAGGACTATCAATTACTTCCTCCGCTTTTATTTACTCTGCATATTAGAGTTGACTGGAGTCAAACTTCGTAAAGTTTGACCAAGTTTATAGAAAATAATATAGACATTTATCATAATAAATCTATACGATGTGAAAGTACATTTAATAATAAATCTAATGTTGTTGATTTGTTATTGTATATCTTAATATTTTTGTATATAAACTAGGTCAAAGTTTGTAAAGCTTGACTTTGACCAAAGCTAATATGCGAACTAAATAAAAACAGAGGGAGTATCAATTAAGCATCAGAACAAGCAGAATCTGCTTTGCCATAAACTTGAAACAATGAAACTCAATTACAACTCAAAATCTCTAATGGACCACCATACAGTAACAGTTGGTTTGCACCAATGATCTAGTTACAAATTCCAATTCACTTCTACATATTAGCCAGGCAATCCAGAACGATTTACCATGTCATCAAGTACCCAAGGCACATTTAAACAAAGAAACAAATATCACAAAAGCACTAAATTTGAAGGCTGAAGTACTATATCAATAACGGGGAGAGGTAGCGCAACAAGGGGCACCACAATTCACATCTACCTTTAGTTGGAGTTATTGTAGGTGGGTACCTCGTGGATGGGTAGGGCACCGGGCATGAACGTCTTTGAGAGGTAGCAGAGGACTAAGACCAGGCTGTTGTCTAGAGCTTGGGCCGCATCTCCTCTCCCTCATGTTCTTCTTGCCGCCTTCAAACATCCTCCATCTCAGGCATTTTAGTTGACTTCGGTGTCCGTCTCTAGTGGAGAGGTGCCGCCGGTGGGGTAGGGGATTGGGTTGGGGCTAGACTGGTCGCTGATGGATCGTTGTGAGACCAATGTCCTTGGCAACCCAACTTGAAGCTGCTCTCGGCATCGTTGCCTGCCACCACGATAGACGGTTGGGGTTAGGGCCTGGGTAGGGCGGGAGCGAGGTGGAATTGGGGATTGGGTGGGTCGAGCTCGATTGGGAAGGGATTAGAGAGAGAGAGAGAGAGAGGGAGAGGAAGAACCGACGATACAGGGGTGACGAGGCTCAATGTCCGCCGCCACCTCCACCACCACAGCTCGCGTAACTCTCCTAGAACTCCGTCGCTGCCTCCACCGTCGTGGCTGACCACCACAAACTCCCTCCCCTCCATTGCACGGTCCATGGTCATACCACTTCTTCTAGGGCCGGTGTCGATCCCGACCATGGCTTCCATGCGGGCATGGCCAAGGAGGCGGCCATGGCGAAAGTTTCATGGGTGGGGCGGCATATCACCGATGGTGGTAGAGGGAGGCGCAATCAAGGAAGAAGGGGCCGTTCGGTGGTCATCCGAGAGGGTGGCGTCCGAGGCGGGTGGTCGTGGGGATGGGGTGCGGGTGGTTTGTGTTTTGGGGGAGGGAGGATACAGATCGGCAGTTCAGGGGAGGAGGCGGAAAACATGTGTTGTTTCAATTTTTTCCACTGTCGAACGTGGGTTTTCTCTCTGCTATTTTTTGTTGCGGGGTCGTACGAGGGAGGTCGAACCATCGAAGGAGGTGAAACCATCACGACGTTCGATCCTCCTTTAATAGTAGATTATAATAAAAATACTTTAATGAGTTTCCAAATCTAACGGCCAGAAAAATTCATAGATGGAGTTACGTGAAATTACAAGTCATAACTTTTCAATCACCGTAAAAGAGCTCTTTATCAAAAGTCGAAACGGGCAGCCCGGCCTTTCCCAGTCATGTCTGGACGTAAATATATTCTCACCAACGCCGGCCGGCCGGCAGGGCGATGACTGGGTCCAGCTGATCACGAATTCATGACTGGGTCCAGCGATCGATATTTTGGTGGTGCATGTGACCTTCCCTTGTCAAAGTCCACGTCGTCTTATGCTGTTGGAATCATGGAAAGTGAAGAGATAACATATGATGACTTCGATTGGGTGGTGTCTTTGGATTACCCGGTCTTGAACTCCGGGGTGAAAACCTTATGTGATACCCCAGTTGGTTATACTTGGCAATGTCGGTGTTTTTTGCATCGTTACCCCGTTGAAGACATTGCTTGGAGTTTGCTTGACTTGATCTCCAGGGTGAAAATCCACGATCTGACTTTCAATGGTCAGATTAGGTGACGATGATGCGTGTGCAACGTTCCCTTTCTGAAAACGTTGCTTTTGGAGAGCCTTTCTCATGGTCCTGTGTTGTCAAAAAATAGTCGGTGTCGTTGATCGTTGTTGTATATCGTCGATCACTGTTTTGATAGCTTTGGCTTTTTTTCTTCTCTTCTCACCTTGACATATTTTCGGTTTTATATAACTTAGCTCTTTGCCATCATCATCCGCGTGTGTGCGTGTGTTAGTGTTGGTTGTGTGCATCCTAATTATGCAGAGACCGGGTATGCTTATTGTGATTGTATCCTTCGATACTACATTATGAGTCAATAAAAAACGCCCTTTATCAGAAAAAAAAAACTCTCGCTGCTCAGTGCATCAGCACAATGGCCGCTTCACCCACGCCAAAAACTCATCTTTGACTAGCACGTACACTCCATGGCACGGCAAGGCGATGGCTGGACCCTGGACAAATTTGACTGCCTTGGAAAAACGTATGCTCGCCGTGCCGTGCACGCGGCGCCAGAATCATGATCATAAATCCACCGCCCACTCTCCCTACTCACTCCACACAACCAAACAGCCAAGATTCAATCAATGGCCGCTCTCTCATCACCTTCCCGTATTCTCATCTTTATACTGGTACTACTACTCTCCACCGTCTCCGCTGCTGCTGCTTCTTCTTCTTCTTCTTCTTCCCGTCTGACCAGCGGCAATGGCAGTGACACCGATCTTGCCGCGCTGCTGGCTTTCAAAGCCCAGCTCGCCGACCCTCTCCGCATCCTTGCCGGCAACTGGACCACCGGCACTCCTTTCTGTCGTTGGGTTGGCATCTCGTGCAGCCGACATAGGCAACGTGTCACTGCTGTATCGTTGCCGCACGCACCTCTCGTTGGATCCGTGGCACCTCATGTCGGTAACCTCTCTTTCCTTTCTGTTCTCAACCTCACTCTCACCAACCTCACAGGCCCAATTCCACCCGAACTTGGCAGGCTACATCGTCTTACATATCTTGGTCTTGCAAGAAATAGCCTGTCAAACACCATACCTACTACCCTAGGGAACCTCACAAGGCTCAAGTCCCTTGACCTAGGTTTCAACCAACTCTCAGGCCAGATTCCCGTTGAGATGCTGCTACGTATGCACAACCTTATGGTAATTAATTTGTTCAGCAATGATCTGAGTGGCCAAATACCACCACATTTGTTCAACAACACGCCTTTCTTGAAGGTCATCAGTTTTGGAAATAACAGCCTGGGTCCTATACCACACGTCGTTGCACGATTATCCATGCTTGAGATATTGGACATGGAGCGTAATCAACTCTCTGGCCTAGTACCGCAAGCCATATACAACATGTCCAGGCTACAAATCATGGCATTTGCATATAACGGTAACCTAGCTGGAATATTTCCGAGCAATCAAAGTTTTAACCTCCCACTGTTGCGCTTTATTTCACTATATAGAAACAATTTCGCCGGTCAGTTTCCATCAGCGCTTGAATCATGCCGGTACCTAGAGGTGCTTGATTTGGGTGACAATTTTTTGTGGACGTTGTGCCAATATGGTTAGCCAAATTATCACGACTCACCTGGCTTAACTTACAATCTAACAACATTCTTGGCCCAATCCCGGCTGCTCTTAGCAATCTCACCAGTCTTACTCGTCTCGATCTCTCCAACTGCAGTCTAAAAGGAGAGATTCCACCAGAATTAGGTCTTATGCGGGAACTCTCGTTTCTGTCTCTTACACGCAATCAATTGGTAGGTAATATTCCAGCTTCGCTTGGCAACTTATCCAAATTGTCTGTCCTAACTTTGCCAGGTAATCAATTGTCGGGACAAGTACCAGCAACATTAGGGAAACTTGCAGCTTTGACCGTGCTTGAATTGTCAAGTAACAATTTAGAGGGGAATCTAGACTTCCTTTCGAGTCTTTCCCAGTGCAGGCAACTCTGGTTCCTCGGTATACATAATAATTCTTTCAGAGGAGTCCTCCATGGCCATGTGGGAAACCTCACTTCACGGTTGACCATTTTTCGAGCAGGTTATAACAAATTAACAGGTGGAATTCCTGCAGCAATTTCAAACATTAGCAGCCTTGAACTGATAGATCTTCGTGACAACCTATTCACCGAGCCGATTCCCGATTCCATCGCTATGTTAGAGAATCTTGTAGATCTTGATCTCTCACACAATGACATGTTAGGCCCTATCCCAGCACAAATGGGTATGCTTCGGAGTCTAGGACAGTTACTCCTTGAAGCAAACAAATTCTCAGGATCCATACCAAGCAGCTTTGATAATCTTAGTTTCTTACAAAACATCGACTTGTCTAATAACAAGTTGGGGTCAACGATACCCCCAAGCCTTTTCCGCCTAAATAAACTTATCACATTGGATGTTTCTCACAATTCCATTGATGGTGCACTACCAGATGATGTTTCTGGTCTAAGACAGATTGATCAAATTGATCTCTCTTCGAACTTCTTGGTAGGAAGCATCCCAGAATCATTTGGACAACTTGATATGCTAACGTACGTAAATCTATCTCATAACTCCTTCAAAGGCTCAATTCCCGACCCACTGAGAAAACTAGGAAGCTTAGCATCATTAGACCTTTCATTCAACAATCTCTCTGGTATCATTCCCATGTTCCTTGCCAACTTTACCTACTTGACTACCTTGAACCTCTCATTCAATAGGTTAGAAGGCCAAATACCCAAGGGGGGTGTTTTCTCAAACATCACCTTGCAATCTTTGATTGGGAATGCTGGGCTATGTGGTGCTCAACGCCTAGGAGTGCCGCCATGCCTTGATAGATCTAGATCAAGTAACAAACACTTGCTAAAAATTCTACTTCCAACACTCATATTAGCCTCTAGTGCCATTGTCATTTGCTTGTATCTATGGTTCGGAAAAAAACTAAAGAAGGAGAAGAACAATGCTTCTGTTGATACAAGCAATGTTCCGGGTCACGAGATAATCTCCTATCATGAGCTCATTCGCGCCACCAATAATTTCAGTGAAGATAACATTTTGGGTTCCGGAAGCTTTGGGAAAGTCTTCATGGGAAGACTGAGCAGTGGTTTGGTGGTTGCGATAAAAGTTCTTGACATGCAGCTCGAGCAGGCCATTCGAAGTTTTGATGTTGAGTGTCGAGTACTTCACATGGCGCGGCACCGTAACCTGATCAAGATACTCAACGCGTGCTCTAACCTTGACTTTAGAGCACTGGTGCTTCAATACATGCCAAATGGCAGCTTAGAGACACTCCTACACCGGTCTGAGGGTACACGACATGTGGGGTTCCTAGAGAGACTGGACATCATGCTCGACGTGTCAATGGCACTTGAGTATCTGCACCATGATCACTATGAGCTGATCCTGCACTGTGACTTGAAGCCTAGCAATGTGTTGTTTGATGAGGAGATGACTGCACATGTGGCAGACTTCGGCATTGCAAGGTGGCTTCTCGGTGATGACACCTCTATGATATGTACGAGCATGCCCGAAACGGTTGGATACATGGCACCAGGTACATAATTAGCTACGTCTTATTACAAACTGGTTTTTAAGGCAATTATAAATAGTGTCTCCAAGAAAAACAAATATGATTGAGGACTTATGCTTTAATTTCCACTCATTGTTTCCTTGAGCAGAGTACGGTTCACTCGGAAAAGCATCACGGAAGAGCGACGTGTTTAGTTACGGGATTATGCTTCTTGAAGTCTTTACTAGAAGGAAGCCAACTGACGCCATGTTTGATGCACAGCTAACCTTTAGGCAATGGGTTTGTCAGGCATTTCCTGCAGAGCTTGTCCAAATCATCGATGGTCAGCTACTGCAAGGCTCCCCTCTTTCTAGCTGCAGTTTGGAAAATGGCTCTCTTGCATCTGTGCTCGAGTTGGGTTTGCTCTGTTGCAGCGACTCGCCTGACCAAAGAACAACGATGCGTGATGTGGTCGTGACGTTGAAGAAGATCAAAGCTGAATACATCAAACAGACAGCAACAACATCACGTAGTGCAACACAATGACCGAGCTCCCTTTTAGCCTGATACTATGTCATCTGTAAGACTGCAACGATGCGTGGGTGTATTTGTTTCGCTTCTTTTGCACTAAGAGCAGCCACTTCCCTACTAGAGTGGGCACGAATGAATGTGAGTATTTGGCATGTACAACCGTTTGGTCAGCTTTTCTTTTCTCCGGTTGCGTGAGTACGTAACATTCTTGTTTCCTTTCTATCAATTGAACCCTTTCCGAAATACGGAGTATATATGAACAAGACCAGTGCGCCTAACGCTTTGACCACAATGTGTGAAAATAGATTATATCCCTATGATATACCGAGTCAAGTGCCATATACTGCCTCCATCCTAAATATAGTCTTTTTAGAGTTTCCAATATGTATTACATACGAAGCAAAATGAGTGAATCTACACTCTAACATATGTCTATATACATATGTATGTAGTCTGTATTGAAATATCTAAAAAGACTTATATTTAGGAACGGAAGGAGTAACAAATAGTCCAGTCCGAGAACACATTCAAGTTTCACCCTTTTTTCTATTTTCTCAGGCATGCCTTATCTTGAAAAGAAAGGCCATAGAGGCACAATACTTGACTGTCTTCCAACATAGATGTACTACGTTTTTTGCAACAACCAAACTTGCCATCTTTGACAGTGTTGACTCATTTCTCAAATACTAATTTTGTCGATGGATTGAACATTTTAACCTTTTTTATAACTTTATTAAAGACAGGCAGACTTCACTTCTTGATGCTTTCGTATGAAGTCCTCATTTAAGAAAACGCAAGCAGAAGCATTGCCCCGTCTCAGTGATAGAGCATGTCCAATCACAACCCAAAAAATAAAGCTCCGAAATAGTCAAATGGGAGATGGCCCAATTTTTGAAGCCCTAGAAATGGCACCAATAATGACTCCTAATTCGCAACCCCATTTTCTTATGACATATAGGACCAGCCCATTAATGACTCTTTCATTTTTTTTGTATTCTATTTTTTTGTCCTCCATCTTTCCTTGGTCATTTAGTGCCGGAGCTTAATGGCAGCAAGTCAATAAGCAGCGGAGCTAGGAGGGGTTGGCGGGGTTTGGAAGGCAGTGACATAACTCAAAAGGGGATGGAGGGTTGTCGGTGAAGCAACTCGGGAGGATACAAAGTAGTGGCGACATTGCGGCGGAGGAGAAGGAGGTTAGTGGTGCTCTGAAATTGTCCACTACTTCAACAACCAACAATAGGGGTTAGAGAGAGAGAGAGAGAGAGAGAGAGAGAGAGAGAGAGAGAGAGAGACTAGTATTGGGTGCTCTCTGGATGTTTTGGAGGGGCCTACCTAAAATGGTCTTGAGTAGTGTGTAAGTGCATCTAGTGCCACCCCTAGTTGGTTTTGGAGTATTGACGACAAACCTAGTTGAGGGACTAATGTGTTTGTGAGAATTGCAGGATAACACAGGTAGAAGTCCCTCATTGATTCGGTTTTACTACCAGAGATGACCCCTAAAATGTATGAAGACATTGAAGACAAAGGTGGTATATGAAGACATTCACATTGAAGACTATGACAAAAGAAGACACGTTATGAAGCCTATGGAGCTCGAAGACTTAGATCTTTCGTAGTTCTATTTCTTTTGTGTTGAGTCATAGGAACCACCGCACTGTTAAGTGGGGTTCAGGAGAACCAGTCAGAATGACTCAAGTGATGCCTAAATCAAAAACCTATGTCTTCAAGTGAAGACAATAAGAGCGAATCTTGTCCAGAGCCGGACAAGTCAGCTTTGCTTGTAGCCCAAGTAAAGTTGCCATGAGAGTTTGAAATCTGACCGTTGAGACACGTGTCAGTTCCTTAGTGACCCAGGGTCATTTTGGACAAATCAGGTCGGGTTGCCAAGTGGCTATAAATAGCCCACCCCCTACAACCATAAATGGTTGGCTGCTCAGATTTTAGTGCACGGCTTTTGTAGTTTGAGAGCAACCCACCTAGAAGCCTTTGAGAGAAAATTCCTAGCAAGGAGAAAAGCACTAACCACCCAGAGCCAGAGAACATTGGGCGTCACTTAAGTCTTCTTGTCTGTGTGATCTGAAGCCTTATTACACTTGAGGACTGTGAATCCTCCAGACGGTTAGGCGTCGCGTTCAGAGCATCCAAGAGACATTGTGGATTGCCAGTGAACAAAGTCTGTGAAGGTTTGGGAGTCTACCTTGAAGACTTACCAGAGTGATTGGGCGAGGACTATGTGACCTTAGCTCAAGGAGAATACGATGAGGACTTGGTGTCCTGAGCTGCGTGTTCAGGACTGGGTGTCCGGGACTGTGTGTCCTAAGGTTTAAATACCTAGCCGCTCCAACTAGACGTACAGTTGTCACAGCAACTGGAACTGGTCCAACATATCATTGTCTTCAACGAGTCACTGGTTTCATCTTCACTTCCTTTTTCTTACTGTTACTCATTGTGAAGCCATTGCATGCTTGCTCTATCTTTTGTCTTCACAACGTGAATGTATGATCTGTTTGACTTCATAACTTCTTCCTACCTGATCCTTATTACACTGCAGCTGTTTGTCATTGTGCTTTCACTCTATTGAATACTTGACCATGGCTGGCCTCGTATAATCTAACTTCCGCTGCATAGTAATAGGCATAATCTTTGTTGTTTGTCTTCATAACTCCCACGTTTTGAAGACTTTCATAAATATCGCCTATTCACCCCCCCTCTAGTCGATATAACGCACTTTCAATTGGTATCAGAGCAAGGTGCTCCCTTGTTCTGTGTGATTCGGTTTAACCACCTGGAGTTTTAGCTATGTCGACTGCAGGGATAATCAAAGTCTCTGCTGCGTGCCCCGTCTTCGATGGAACTGAATATCCCTACTGGAAGAATAAGATGCGCATGCATCTTGAAGCCATTGACGTCGACCTATGGTATGTCGTCGAGAACGGCGTTCCCAAGGCTGGAGAAGGTGTCACTGCTGCTGATGTCAAGAAGTTCACTCAACTGGACTCTACTGCCAAAAATATCATCTGTGGTCATCTGACAAAAGGACAGTATGGCCGTGTGAGTGCCTTGAAGACATCCAAGCTGGTCTGGGATTGGCTCTCCAAGGTCAATGAAGGCATCTCAACCCAGAGAGATCAGAGAATCAGTGTTCTTCGCAACCTCTTCAACCGCTTCAAGCGAAATGACAATGAGAATGTCCAGCTCACATTTGACCGGCTCACTAACATAACAAATGAGCTTCAAGCCCTCGGCGCCATTGAGATCATCAAACATGAAATCGTCAAGACGCTGCTGAGATCACTTGATAGTTCGTTTGACATCCTAGCCCTGATGATTCAAGAACGTCCTGATTTCAAGACACTCGATCCGTCTGACATACTTGAGAGGCTCAACACACATGAGTTTCAGCTTTCTGAGAAAAGAGATATCTACGGTCCAAACTATGGGCGAACTCGTGCCTTGAAGGCAAAAGCTGTTTCCTCATCTGAAGAAGAATCTGACAGCAGTTCTGATGATCCTGAAGACATTGGAAGGGAACTTGCAATGCTAGTGAAGAAGTTCCAAAAATTCACCAAGAAGAAAGGCTTCAGAAAATCTTCACGATCAAGCTCAAGGAATGATGAAGCTTCTGCTCATGACTACAAGAAGAAAACATGTCACAAGTGCAAGAAAACTGGACACTTCATCTCTGAGTGTCCACAGTGGGACAATAAGAACAGAAGGAAGAAGAAGAGCAAGGAATATGATTCTGACGACAAGAAGAAGAAGAAATACTCAAAGTCTTCTTCCAAGTCTTCCTCAAAGTATTCATCACACAAGAAGAGCTCATCTGGCAAGGCACGTGCGTTTGTTGGCAAGGATATGGATTCAGAGGAGGAGTCCGCTTCTGAGGAGGCAGAGGTGGAATCTGAGGAGGAGTCTGATTCAGGCGTCGCAAGTCTGGCTACAGCATACGTTGCCAAGTCCATCTTCAACACTGAAGACAATGACTTCATTACCGACACCGATGCAAATGACAAGGACTACTCCACTTCTACCTACTGCTTCATGGCACGCGGTGCCAAGGTAAACACACGCACTACTCACTATCAAACATCTAGCGACGATGACTCTGATTGTGGTTCAAAACCCAGCTACAAAACACTTGCTAAAATTGCAACTGAACAACAGAAAGCTATGGAACATATTCAAAAACTGTTAGACATAAGCGATGATCTGTTAGGTGCTGAAATGACTCGATCTGAATCCTTAATTGAAGACATAAAAAATCTTCACGTTAAGTACGAGGAACTTGAAAGTCGTCATGAAACTCTCTCAACAACTCATGAAAAGCTTTCCTATGATTATCTTCAAAGGAAGCAAGATCTTGAGAAATTGAGAGCGACTCATGAAGATCTTCAAAAGGAAAAGGAGTCACTTCGCGCCAAACAGATCAGTTCCGCTCAGGAAGGATTTGAACCACCATGTCTTAAATGCATTGAGCGTCATAATGCTACTTCTGTTGCTGAATGTTCTACTGCTACTACTATTGCAATATCTTCAACTGTTGATGTGGTAACTAACCCCTCTGCTGAGGATACCACTGCTATTGCTGATGAGAATGCTAGGTTGAAGACATTGCTTGAAATAGGGATGTACAAAAGTCTTAAAGGGCATCAGACACTATGTGATGTCCTCAAAAAGCAGATTCTGAACCGAAACCCGAGGAAAGAGGGTGTTGAGTTCGTAAGGAAAATGAATGCTGATGGCTCTTACTGGAAACCTGAGCAGTACCCCAAAACCACGTGGGTTGCTGCAAAGGAACCTTCAGCAGATCCATCCAATCTATCTGGCTTCACTTGTGCTAACCCCATTATCATTGATGAATCCCTTGATGCAAACTATAAACTGTTTAAGAATCAGAATGGTGAAGTGTTTGCCAGGTACATTGGTACTAACTGCAGGAATGGACCGCCTATGAAGAAGATCTGGGTTCCGAAAAGGTGTTTGGAGAATCTTCCTGTGAATGTCATCATGACACC